TGCCAAGACTTTTTTAAAAAATGAAGCCTAAATCATAAACCTCCTGCATAATCTTATTAGATCACTCCGTGCTCATTAGATGCACATATGAATCTACAGCAGTTCCCTCGCTCTGAAAGCGATGTAGAAACAAGCACGTCGCTCTTAAGGTTGGTGGGGTCTCTGTTGAATAAACCACAAATTTTGATGTAAATGTAGACTATTCTCAAAACTGTTTCCTAACTCTTTCTCATTGCCAAGTCCATTTACTATGTATTTTATTTCATTGCCTGCCTGTTAGGCACTTTTTTAACATAAGAGCAGTTGCTTCTTCAGTATGTTTTAAAGAAGAAAACCCCAGTGAAGTATCGTAAGCAGTTTTCTCAAAGGGTTACAGAAGGATGTGAGGGGAGAGGTAGGAGGATCCTGGCAGAGCTGCCAATGCAAGCTAGCACTTTGTGTCTACCCTCTCCCCGCTTCCACCGCTCTCGTGCGAATTACAGTCTTTTCTCCTTCACCTCCCAGATGCGACAAGCTGACCGAAATGTTGTAACGGCACTAACACACAGGCCATGGCATCTGAGTCATTTTGGGGATGGGACACCCCGTTTCAGTTCCTCCTGGAAACATTATTTGTACATGATGATGGACATCATTCTAGACTGGAGCCTACACAGTTTCTTGTGGCGATTGTGCGGGGTTTCAGCTTTCCTCATACAGAAAAATTTTGTTTCTCAGTAAGTGTTAAAGCTTGCTAATGTATCGGGAAACAGTGTCATTCTATTAGCGTATATGGGTGGAGTTAACACCGTATATGTTAAATATAATCAATATGTTCCAGTTCGTGTTGTGTAAGGCTGGTTAGTTTCTTTACCCCATACTATTTTATTATTTGAAGCCTCTATCTTTTCAATATGTATTTTTATCTTATGTTGAATCCAAAGTTTAATCTTCTGCAGAACCAAAACTGGCTTTTGCTGGTTTACAGTAATAAACCACAAATAGATGATGTTGCAAAAGATGATGCAGTATCGTTCTTGATGTGACACTGACGTAAGACTAAAACTCAGTTGCGGCCTCCGCACTGTCTGCCTTAAATATGGCAGTTGGCCGCCGCCTTACTGCATCTTTGTTCCTTGCAGAGAGTACGTGAGGCACTGGTCTTCAAAAGGAATTCAGGTGGTTGCCTGGACAGTGAACACATTTGCAGAAAAAAACTACTACGAAAGCGTCCTGGAATCCAGCTACATCACCGACAGCTTGGTGGAGGACTGTGATCCTCACTACTAGACCTGTGCTTTGTACACACTCTCCACCCTCGAGAAGCTGTCCCCTTACTCGGGTGGGTCTGAGTTCACCGTCGAGGGGTGCGCACTGGTGCAGCTGGGACTGCGAACAAGGGCTCTGGGAAAAGGAGGAGGAGGAGTTTACTTCTGCTGTACGGTCAGGTCTCGGGTGCAGAAAAACCCACAGCCCAACACTGGACAAAGCTGAGGTATGGCCACTCGCGCAGGGGACATCGTGCCGCCATCGGATGGGCTAACTGGCAACACGCTCTACGTGCGGGTTGCTTTGTAATTCTCAGGCTATTCCTTTGCTCTGTTTGAATCTCGGTTATAAAGTTGTATCAGCAATTGTTGGTGTCAAACTTTAAAATCATACCTTGATTTTAGTAACTTTAACTGTTCTATGACTGTATGATAATTTGAGGTTAATTGATGGCATCTTAAAAACGTCTACATTACTGTTCTCAAAACAGAACCTGAAAATAGCGGTGCCAAAGTAGAGGGTGAGTGGATTCTTCCCCCACTGCAGGGACAGGTGGCTGTGCTGTGTCCTGACAAGGAAAAGCAAGCCAGCTTCCCCTGTTCCGTGTGAGGGCTATGGGAATTAATGAGTAAAACCTGAGTATCTTCTTAGCTTCCAGACTTTTTAAAAGAACAAAGGGAGGATATTATTTCTTCTAATGATACAGCACCTGAATGTATGCATTTTTAAAGAAAGCTATAGATGGAGTGCTGGTAGTGGTAGAACAAATGGAGCTGAAATGTCTTCTTACTTTGCTTATTGTTTGCATGATTGAAGGGCACTCGCGAGGATACGTGGGAAACTGTAACCCGGGTTTAATTTCAAATCGAAGGAGTCTGCAGTTACAATAAACGAGCGTCTGACAGCTCCCGGGTACAGTGTTCCTTATCAGCTGTGCTCCGGTACATTGGTGTACACGTCAAAGTGAGCGCAGGCTGCTGCTGCCTTTTCTAATGAGTAAACCGCAGCTCCCAGCCCTGCTGTCAACCGTCGCCAAGAGCAGAACATCCTTGTGGAGCCAGCCCTAATGTAAATCACACCATCTTTTCTTAATGGCCAATACATGAAAAACTTACTGAGTTTAATAACTTAATTTCAAAAGAATGTGGTATTAATTTCAACAGAAATGAGGAATTTGAACACTTGATGGGTTACGTGCTGCAGGTTGTTCATTTGTGATCTCACGTGATACCCCAGGCTGCGTGTGTAGCCATGCACATGTTTAAAACACGGTCTAGTCGTGACGGTGGTTCCTTGGGGAATTAATTGTTTCCTTGCTGGGGCCTGGCGGTGTTTCAGCTGCCCTGCGCGCTGTGCTGGGGCAATGCTGCGCTCGCAGGAGTGAACAGCAGGGGGCACGGACCGTGGGGCACGTCCCTTTGGGTATAAGTGATGGTGGTAGGATGCCGCGTGCTTAGAACTAGTTCTCGTTCACAGAGCCACCTCGTATTTAAAAAAACTTTAACAAAAGAGGCAAAAGGTAATAAAAAAATTAAATAGATTGGTCATCGATGGAAAGAACTACACAATTGTTGCAACTAAGGTAAGTCCAAACTTCGGAATTAGCAGCAGATTAACGCTGCTTTCTGCGAGGGCTGATAGATTTTTTTTTTGCTGGTATCTTGTGCTATACGTAAGGGCCGAGACGTGTAGGAGTAAGGAGGGGATGATGCGAGCCGCTTGGGTTCATGTCAGTTCCCCCCCTGCACTGCAGAACCAGCGCTCGGTCTGCGGGTGCACGTCACCTGTACGTCGTGTCCCCCCAGCTCAGCTCACGGCCTCCGCAGCTCCACCGCTCCTGTGTTCACAGCGGAGGTGGGGCACAGCACCCCGGCTCCAAACCTCCGGTGGCTGCTGCTGGGCCACCGCCTGCAGCGCAAACACGAGGCTGTATTCCCATATTCCCAACCAGACTGCAGGAAAACCTAATAAAACTGAAGTTCTAGTCTCACATTTTGTGTAAAGTTTGTCCTTTTTTTTTTAATGTAGCTTTGGTGGCTGTTTTGGCTTGTCTTCTACTGAAATTATGAGCATGAGGAAAAGCCTCTTTCCTAAGGCATATGTATGTCCAAAGCACCGAGGGAGCAATAAACAGGGTGGGGGTAGAAAATGAGCTAAAAAAAATAATCATCATGGCAAAGTTGTGGCTCTGGCTAAAAGGAAGTTGCACAAAGTGTCTCAAAGTCAGCTGTGACTAAAAATAAATATCAGTTGTGTAACTTCTACTCTATCCTTTACTGAAAAGGTACATGTAAACTTCTTGTTTACAAGCAATGGTTTTACACAGATGAGAATTTTGATAAGTAGTCACTCCTTAAAAAAAAAAAAAAATAGTTCTGATAACCTGTGCCATCAGAGCTGGTTTGCAGTGACCGTAATAAACGATAAAATGGCTCAGAGAAATGGAAATGGAATAGCATCTCAACCTGGTTCACACCAGTTACACAGGTTACTCAGCAGCCAGGACAACATCTTTCATTTCCTTCTATTTTATTTTGACTTCACTTTTAGGTTAGATGAGATCAAAGCAGTTTGAACAATACCACTGATTAAAAATATTTTTATGACTAAAGCTTTAATTTATAGTGAGACTAAATACGAGGAAACTGTACAGAGGTAACGGCCAATCCCAGGGGAAGGCTGACTATCACCAGGCTATCACTACACACAGGATATTCCGTACTGTACCAATAAGCTGTAGTCAGATGCGTTTTGCATCTGTTGTATTTTTTTCTTCCATTTGGGGGTAAAAAAAATGTTGGAATGGTTCTTTCAGTCATTAGTGCGAGTGATGCTTTCTGCAGAACATCAGTCAGCGCCTCAACGTTTGTTACTGATTCCGCCTGCTCATGGTCGAAAATCTTTGTCGTCGTCTTCCTCTTCCCACTGCGCTGCTTCTCTAGCGCGTAGAGCGAGCGCCACCGCCTCGGACATGCCGGCCTGGCCGCGGAGCTGGGCCATCTCTGAATCTGGTTTGCACAACGGAAGCAATGTTAACTCTGCTGGTGTCAGTGTAACAGCCGCCCCTTACATGTCTCATCCCTCAAGTATCTGGAATGAAGTTACATGTTTGTGTAACCCAGGAGTAGTTCAAGCTACCACCACACTTCCATAGCTCGCTTTATTCCAGACATACGATGTCCGAGGGACTCCGCATCACTACCCACCTCCTTGCGCTTTGCACCAGATGCAAAGTGCACCCCTAATGCGATGGGATGGGACGTTCTTGCGGGCGGCTGCTCCCGTAAGACGGACTGGCTCATTTACCCGCAGAAATCCAACCCCAGCTTGTGATGAGCCTCCAGCAGCCGCCACCAGCACCAACAGGCACAGCCTATAGAAAACGTTCACCCCAAAGCCCAGCTGCCTTTTTGTTCCTCTTGATACAAGCTGTAAAGCTCTGTCCTCTCACATGACGCTGTTACACACAGTGGCTGCACTACAGCAAATGTTTTTACTGAGCTGCGTGTTGCGCAGTTGTCACTCACCTAGCGGGAAGCCAGAGCCCCTCACGCTCCCAGCAGAGCAGCGATACTGAAATCAAAAGGCACAAGCGGATTTAGGTCAGGGTTTCCCTCACGTGCCTGTTATCTTGGAACTTAAAAGCTGCCAGTTACCCGTAAGAAAACCAGGCTCTCCAGCTCTTGAGCAGCTTTGTGAGTATGGGTATTCCAGCAGCTATTCTGATTGCATTTTTGTATCTGCTCAAATTAGTCTTTAAAGTTATTTCTATACATACAGGATGACCTCTCTGTTCAACATATGGCCATTGTCTATATCATGCCTCGAGTTCTATCAAGGAAACCTAGCAGAGACCTCCTCCTTTTGCCCGTCTCACCTCGTCGTAGGCTGCACTCGGATTTCTCTCTGCTGCCCTTCCTCGGTCGCCTGGCAGGTGCTGGGCAGGCTGCCTGGGCTCGCGGTGTGAAGAAGAAGAGTTCCTCTGAAAGACAGAGGACGTGGCGTCAGCAGCGCTGCAGTCCAGCTTCCATGGAACGAACCGCAGGCAGCGCTGCTCACTCCCGGGGCTGTCCCGGTGTTCGAGGGAGGCAGCTCTGTACATCCCCAAGGAGATTGTTCTGGCATGTCCTTGTGAAACCTGACCTGACCAGCTCCAGGGACACCCGCACCTCGTGGCCGTCAAACCCCCGCCCCGGGGTCCCGCCTGTGACCCCAGACGTGGCCGCAGGCTTGTCGAGCGTCTGGAAGTCTCCAGCGCGCAGGAAGTGCCCGTTCGCTTTCAGCTCCCCTCTTTACAGTCACTATTGACTTATCACATATGTATATTTGCCAATGCATCGATATCAATTGTTATCAGTATTTATCTGTATCATCACATTAATGGTGGCCAGGCATAGAGGGGATTTGGTTTTTTGGGGGGAGGGAGGGGAACCTAACAACCCCTTTTTCTTCACCAGGATGTAGAGGTCAAAGAGTTGTGGCTCAACCCCAACAAACAGTGTGCAGCCCCTCCCTGTGCACGTTTTGACACTAATTTGGTGGCTCAGCAGGCAGGGCTGACTTGGTAAATAAATTCAAGTTTAAGACATTAGATGTCTGTTGTGATGCTGTTTGGGATTTACAGGGGGGTTAGGTCAAAGCACTCAGTTTTACCTCAGCTGAAAATGGGGGGGCACAAAGCCCCAACCCCGGAGGAGGTGCGGTCGGTGAGGACGGCAGCTGCTGCCTCAGTCTAGGCAAGGTGTGGGGGGGCCCAACCCTTGGGTGACCATCACTGCACCCCACGCTGGGAACACCCAGTGAGGGCAGGGGCTTTTCCCAGGTCAAATTCCAGTCTGGAACAAATACTGCGGGAACTCCCATGGTATGCTTTTGCTGCCTGGAGTTAATTAGTCATCAATCAACTTACACGAAGAGACATACCCCAAGACGCAGTCTATTTGCAAGGTGAGAGGAACCCCCCAAAATTGTACCAAGTGCATGGCTGGAACAGCAGTACCTGGGCTATCAAAATGAGCCGCAGGCCTTGTCTTCTCGGCACAGGCTGGTTTGCTCTCTGTATGGTCTGTAGCATTCCAAGTAAAAACTTTTTATCTTTTCCTTCCTGTGGTCAAGACATATTCAATCGTTAGCTGGAATGGAATAATCATTCTTGAGAGGCTCAAAGCCTACGAGTAACCATTGACCAGAATAATCACTAAAATTCCTTTTATTCTAAAATAATCTGTCTACAGAGGGAGCTGCAGCAGCACAGCTTGAAGATGAAATTATTTTGTGACAAGTCTATTTGTGAGTTCAGTTTCCCTGCAATTCATGTGGGGGAGGGCTGGGGAGGGCTCCCACCCTCCCTTGAACTCTCATAGGAAGAGCAGATTACAGCTCCACAATAGCAGGATGAGGCAGTTAAAAAGGAAGCCAAATTTTAAAAAAGATGAAGCTGAAAGTCAAACTTACATTAATAATCTGCTGACGTAACAGTTTGATCACGGTCTTTCTTCCTTCTATTATTTGCGAGCAAAGATAAGTAATAATTCTAGACACACACACAAGGGGGAGGGGGGAAAAAAAAAGTCAAGTTCAACATATGAGCACTCATACCCACAAGTACTTCCCCCTAGTCATCGCCTACACAGAAAGTTATCTCGTTTATTTTATCCATTAAAATATATATATATGCATATCTATACACATATATATCCATACAGACACATATATAAAAAAATAAATGTATATAACTACAGAAGGAGTGGCAAACACGTGAAATTGCTTAAGACATTCTGTTGGAAAAAACCCAAAGATTTACGGGCTCGTATTCAAGATGAGAGGTGCAATTAAAGTCAGTCAACAATACAAGGTGCATCTCAGATAAAGCGGAACGCCGTGCTCTCGCCCAGCTTTGTGCCGTTTGCTTAGACGCACGCCTGGACCTCCAGTCACCACACTGAGCGCTCACGCCCTCCAGGCCAGCCCACCACAACGAGGGGGATCTACTTTTACGAGAACACTTTGGGCTCTTCCGCGTGCACGGCCCATGCTAGAAAGGGGAAAGTGCAATCTGTCCTGCCAACCGTACGCAGCACGTTCCCTTTGCTGGTGTTCTAAAGCTACGTGTGCCAGTGGTAAGAAGATCTGGAGCCTAGGCTGCAGCAAACTAGAAATACTCGATTAAAAGCAGCGTGTCCTAGGGTTAGCACGAAGCTGGTTTGTAAAGAGCTTTGGCATCCTAACATAAAAGGAATAGGGTTTATAACTTCTTTATGTACCTCAAAATACACGGATTTCCAATATATTAACCATTGCTGATGCTTGAAAATGCACTTTGCAATTTTTTTTATTTTTTTTATAGCCATTTTTTTCCACTTCAGGTCCTTTCCCAGTGCTTTTATTAGCAGGTACTTACAGGACAATGGTCGAGAGGATGAAGAAGAAAAGTTCACTTGTAATCAAGTTATGGTAGATCCACACTACCCCTTTTGAGGTTGTGTTATTTTTCAGTGTTTTTATCCACTCAGAGACTGCGCCATACACAGAAGACAAACCTCTGAAAGGACCACATTCTTCTGAAGGTTTTAACCTGAAAGCACAAGAAAACAGCTACCTAAAGCTTCATATATTAACCAGATAGTTAAATTGTGATTTTGTACATCAAGTTTCTCATCAGTTTGCTATCGCCCTCTGCTCTCCTTGGAACCTCAGGGAACTTCCATGATCTACATCCGACTTTTAACTTGGTGACTCCGCAGCCATTAAAACACCGACCCCCGGCTACGCAGCCCTGCTGCAACAGACCGGTGCCAAGCCCTGCCAACACAAGCTTGACCGAAGTGCAAAAAGTCAATCACTGTAGCTCAAGCTATGGCAAACCAAAAATCTGGATTTTCCAAGTTTCACCACAGGTGCTTAGGGGAACCAGCATTTCACCTTGCCTTCGAGGACACGAGTCACTACAGATTTTCAGTAACAACAGGATGTGGTGAACTAAGGCAGCCCAGAGCAAGAACTAACATTTTCAGGTAGACCAAAATAGGAAAATGCTGTTTGCTTTGAAAATGAACCACTCCAGACAGTCTGACATTCCCATCTGGAAATGTTCGCTCTGAAATATCTCATCCCACCTGGTTTCATGTGTAGCAACCTGGCTTACTAAATATTGAAATCCTGCGGCTGAGAATTGCCAAGAAAAAGAAAAGGGGTATCCATGCTGCCCTCATTACTGTGACCAGAGCAACGTGCACATAAAGCAGCTTTAAAATACTGGTAAGAACCGAGATGCTTATTGCAGAGGCCAGCACTCCCTGAAAAAAAGAGCTTGGGATGGTTGTAAATAATCCAGAAGTTGATCTCAACTGAGTTTTTCCAGGTGTTCTCCACTGCAGACCCCATATGATCTGTAACATATGTCAGTCCAGGAACTAGGACTAGGTCACAGAAACTTTTAAGGAGGAGGAAAAGCCAAATTTACTGTGACATTTAAATAAGAACCCAAAACTTCAAGGCACAAGTTAACTCCGTGAACCACGTTCTTGCAAACTCGCTGAGCACATCTTGTTTTCAGCATACGCAACATCTGAGGAACATCTGGAACCTTCCGTTAGTAATTAATAGAGCTTATTCTATAGGAAAATGCAGATTCCTCTGCCCAGTATGAGGGGACACAGCATAACGTAGTAGAATTGAATGCCAGTGATCTTCCATACCTCCAGACAGTGATTCCAATGACAGAGAGGACTCCAAGGAAGGAAGGGAAGAACAGCAGGAACATGAAGGATGCTGTCATCTGAGCAGTTCTCCAGCCTGTGCGAGGGGGTTGGCAATTCATCAGCAGACTGACCTTTAAGGAGATGAAGGTGCACTGACTCTTGGAATGGTGTTACCTGCTGCTTCAATTCAGGGTAAGTCAATCCCACTAAATTGCTGGCGGCAATTGCTGGAATAGCATCTATCAAAAGTTTCCAAGTACTTCTTTTATATGAATTTGATAGATATACTGTAGTTTTAGAAAACTTCAAGAATATAGTTGTTAAATAGTAAGAGGCAAAATGAGGTTCTGATGGGTTCTTCAGGACTCTGTTGGGTAGAGTTTGCTTTTGTAGCATACACAAAGCCACCATTCAGGGAAGCTTGAATCAATCTTTCTAGCTATAGCTTTGTTCTTCCACATTCAACACTACAAACTGCTCAATGACCCAACAAACAATCTATCATCTAGTCATACTACTGAGACAAAGAATTCTGAAAGATGACATTTCCATCGTGATCCTTAGCTGAATCACCCCGCTTACACTTGGATAATTTGGGGGGCACGGTTCCGGAGAGTAAGTGGGAAGCCAAAGTCACAGCCACAGGCCAAGTGTCTATACCGACATACGCACTTGTACACCGTTAATTCCCCAGCCTTTAATTTTACTACTTTATTCTCTCCCCTCTCTAACTGTGCTCTTAACCCTCCCGTCTACACTTTCCCCCCCCCTCTCGACTTTCACAGGTTTGTAATTCAAGGTCGTGCATCTAAATTGTGTTTCTTTAAAGCACACACACCCCCTGCAAACCCTCATCAACTGAACTGCTTCCCTAAATGCAAACCCCCCCTCAGCCTCCAGACAAAACCAGCACTTCAACACAATAAATTCTGCCCAGATTTCAAAGGGTGTAAGTTTATGATGAATACATGTAAAGCTTGTTACCTTTTTCACATAAAATACTATAGAAAATGATATCATCTGGATACCAGGCAGCAGAGGTGAGAAGAAGATACCGATCCTACAAAAGATCGTACAAGAGATTTTTTGTAAGAGAAAAAGTTAAGTCTTCACTATTCACCACACAGCTCTCGGTGCACTGAAAATATCACACTAACTTCATATACAGTTAGTGTTTGGTTATTTGGAAGTGTAGTTATTTTAACCTTGATCCTGTAACAGCAAGTCAACCTTTAAAAATATGCAACTTCAAACACACATATGTACATACACATCTGCAAAACTCTTGTAATTGGAGTAACGGACTCATTCTTAGAAACAAGGCACCTTTCCAGGGTTTAATGCTGCGACTATATCAACAGGAACACCATTCCGGTGGGGAAGTAAACAAAACTCTAGGTTGTTCCTTTTATGGGCTTCTCCCAAACCAAGCGGCCACAGGGCAAAGGACTGACTAAAGTTGTTGTTATTACCTGCAGAGCCCCAAAGAGAACTAACTGCAAGTCACAATCCTCACAAAGGTACTTAATATATCACCTCCTTTAGGCATTTATCCTGTTCTTTCCCCCACAGCAGGAAGCACACCAGAATGTTTCGAGGCCATAAATGCACCACTTACCAGGTCAAAGTCTGTGCATAGATCAAATCTAAAACATTTCGTCCGATATCAAATTCTGGCAGCCCCAGGCTCACGTAGACTGTAGTTCCAATAATTCTGGGGAAAAAACCCAACACAGCACAACAGCATTTGTTAAATGATAAAACCCTTTGCAGAAATCTCTACAAATGACCTCCTGAATACAAGCATCAATGACAAATTATTCAGGGGCTGCATTAACCACACGTCATGCAAAGCAGCCACAGCTCATTGAATAGACAGCATGTAAAAAATGAAACAGAATTTGGCAAGAGCAAATTCCCATAACACACAGCAGGAGTGAAATAAGACCTAGGATATTTTCCATGCAACTCAAAAAGAGAGGGAAAAAAAAAAGAGATTTGTAGCTATATCAGAAAAGTATTCTTATGATTAAACAGTTGAAATGGCCTCGGTACAAAATTGTAACAGCTTTTCAGTTCCTGAGTCTTGAAATATTTCAGGCTCAATCAAAAAAAAAAAAAAAATCTTGTAGACTGATACTCTTAATATATCCTGAAGTATATTCTGCTTTAAACTAACTGAGGTTGCAAGCAGCCGAGACACACTCAGGTAAGCAAGTACTCAGAGGATTCCTACTGAGGGCCAACAATGCCTTTTTATCACCTCATTTTTCCTGAGCTGGGAAGTTTCAGCTTCTGCTTGTAGCAAGAACAGTAAAGATATTAGTAACTATCCCATCTCTCCTGAATATAGGTCTTGGTACCAGCTGATCCGCTGCACCTTCAACGTCTCAGGGCTCAACTTGCAGGAAGTTACTCTGAATACGTACGAATAATTACGAGTAATTATACTTTTAATCTTTCACAGCTGTAAGACTGGCACTTTCACGCAGCTTAGAGGAGGACATATTCATCAGAGCTGACACTGCAGTTTTGGTACTGTGACCTTTCGCTGGGAGGTGGTTTCCTATCTGAACAGAAGGAGGATTAAAGTACACTGGTAAGAGCTGTGAAGGGAAAGTCTTCAAGGGCTTCTCAGTGTTGGTTTGTGTCAATTTAACATTGAGTTTGCAACAAAGTCCTACCTTGTAAACCAGGCTTGTTCACATCATGTACTTGTTAACAAGTATGGCCAGGAACCCTAAATGCTCTGTAGAGTTGGCAAGCATTTATCTACTACCTTAAGTCATAAATAATGTTTGGCAATAGGAAGGTACACACAGCAGATGTCAGAATTAAATGACTTTTTGCTTACGTGCTTAGCTGTATTCATGTTCAGTTAAAAATACCTTCTCACTTACCATGCTACAGAACTCTACACTTGAGAGTCATATTACATCCGTAATAACACCAATTAAAATAAGACTTTAAACTTTCATGCAGTCTGTAGAGTGACATAACTAGGAGGAAAAAAACTGCAGGGGGACATACCAAGGCAAGCCAGCAGCGTGCCTGTGCATGTGCAGAAAAACAAGGTTTTCTGCTTGAGACACCTGGTCCTCTGTCAGTCCACTCAGGAGATCGAGGGGAGTACAACGTGGCTTCCTCCCTGCCTGCGTTTCCACCTCCAAAGGGAAAAAGGACACACTGGGAGAGTAGAACGGTACACACTCTGGCCTCCTCCTAAGAAGGAGCTGCAATATACCCAAGGCGTGTGCCCAGAGACTGTGCCTGGCAGGGACAACCAGGGAAGCTCCAGGGGTGCCACAGCCACGCTTCTGTTGGACTTCTTGGAAAAGACGACTGTGTCTTTGGTGTCTTTGGTTAACGAATAAGAACAAGATTAGCAAAGTAGTACTCACCTTCGTAAAAACTCTCCAAAGAAAGAGCCAAGCAAACAAAATATGAAGTCAACTAGAACAAGACGATAGATATCTTGGCCAACCAGAGTTTCCCAGCACTTTAAGAAGAAAAAATAAAAATAAAAATGCATATCTTAGAAGTCAAAAATCATGCGATTCTAACATTGTTCCCAAATGCCTGGGCATCTGAAACTTGGGCTACAGATCAAAGTTTGGCTAACATCCTGACTAATCACAGTTGACCTCTCTTTGAACAATGCTGCAAACCAGCTGAAACCCGACTTGGGCGATTCATTTTTTCCCTAC